CCTCTTGGAGCCGTCTGGAGACCCTCTTGGAGCCTTCTTGAGGCCATCTTGGGGCCATGTTGGGCCCCAAGAGGCCCCCAAGAAAACCCCAAAAGGACTCCAACTAGGATCACCCGGCAGAGCCCTTCAGGGTGATCCTAATCGGGTGAGTTTTGTGGCCCTCTTGTGGCCCTCCTGGGGCCTCTTAGGGCCTCTTTGGAAGCGTCTGGAGGCCATCTTGAGCCATCTTGGGGCCAGCTCGGGCCCCAAGAGGCTCCCAAGAGGGCCGCAGAGTTTGCACTGGTTTCTGTACCGACGGCACGCAGCATGCAAGGAATCGTAATACAATCCCAGTAGTCCTCACCGTCGTGCTGGTAAAGAAGTCAGAATAGAGTATTCGATAGAGTAGTCAGTAAAAACATGAAAACTATCAGTCGCAGTAGCAGCAGTTGTAGTAGTATTCGTAGTAGTAGTAGCAGTAGTAGTAGTAGTAGTAGTAGTAGTAGTAGTAGTAGTAGTAGTAGTAGTCGTAGTCGCAAACGTACTCGTGGTCGTGATAGTAGCGGTGCTAGTATGAGTCGTGGTCGTAGACGTAGTAGTCGTAGTCGGAGTAGTAGTAGTAGTAGTAGTGGTAGTAGTAGTAGTAGTAGTAGTAGTAGTAGTAGTAGTACTAGTAGTAGTAGTCGTAGTCGTAGTCGTAGTCGTAGTCGGAGTAGTAGTAGTAGTAGTAGTAGTAGTAGTAGTAGTAGTAGTAGTAGTAGTAGTAGTAGTAGTAGTAGTAGTAGTAGTAGTAGTGTAGTAGTAGTAGTAGTAGTAGTAGTAGTAGTAGTAGTAGTAGTAGTAGTAGTAGTAGTAGTAGTAGTAGTAGTAGTAGTAGTAGTAGTAGTAGTAGTAGTAGTAGTAGTAGTAGTAGTAGTAGTAGTAGTAGTAGTAGTAGTAGTAGTAGTAGTAGTAGTAGTAGTAGTAGTAGTAGTAGTAGTAGTAGTAGTAGTAGTAGTAGTAGTAGTAGTAGCAGTAGCAGTAGCAGTAGCAGTAGTAGTAGTAGCAGTAGTAGTAGAGGCCTCTGTGAAACGTCCCGGGACCTCTGTGGATCAGGTCAGCACAAGTCAGCGCAAGTCAGCGCAGGTCAGCGCAGGTCCTCACAGAACGACGCAGGACGGCACGGGTCTCGGACAGGGAGGACAGGGCACAATCTGAGCTGCGCTGACCTGCGCTGACCTGCGCTGACCTGCGCTGACTGGCTGACCTGCGCTGACCTGCGCTGACCTGCGCTGACCTGCGCTGACCTGCGCTGACCTGCGCTGACTGGCCTGACCTGCGCTGACCCCGTTGACCTGCGCTGACCTGCGCTGACCCGCGCTGACCTGTGCTGTCCTGCGCCGACCAGCGCTTCTGAGGAGCGCGTGACCTGCGCTGACCTGCGCTGATCTGCGCGGATCCGCGCTGACCTGCGCTGACCTGCGCTGACCCGCGCCGGTAACATCTCCGGGTTGAATGCGAACACCCTGCAATATGTTTTATTTTACTACTCTACTGCTACCTTGGACCTCCGGGGTGTCTGTTGGAGCTCCCTGGGGAGGCGTCGGCCGCCGATAGAGAGAGAGAGAGAAAGAGAGAGAAAGAGAGAGAGAATGGTCGGGAAGGGGGGCGGTTCGGTAGGTGCATGCAGACAGGCGTCAGTAAGGGGGGTGCGGGGCTCTGGAGACTTGCAGAGAAGAGGCCCTACGTACACGTACCCGATAGCCTTGGGAGCACGATGCCTTTGCCACTTCGGCGCCTGGTCGGGCCTGTCACTTCGGCGCCGGGCTGGGGTCCCAGGGTGGAGAGCTCTGTGGAGACTTACGGGGAAGGGGCCCCACGTGCATGGACCTGACATCGACGAAGAAGCACTGCATCACCGTAAACTTTCGAACCTCCGCGCGGCTCTCTTGGATCGGCGTTGAGGCCCCACTGCGGCGCCTCCGGTGCAGCCCCTGGCGCGCTCCGCAGGCGGGGAAGCCTTCCCCGCCAGCGCCAGGGGGAGGGCCAGCGCAGATCCAAGAAGTTCGCGCGGATTTCCGAAAGCTCTCGTTTATGCAGTTTCCCTGTATCCACTGCGGCGAAGAAGCCCCACCTGCATGTGCCCGAAAGCACATGTGGCAGTTCTTCCTGTCTCTACTCCAGAGAAGGAGTCCAACCTGCAGGCGCCTGGCAGCACGCGTGGCTTTCCCTTAGATCCGGGAAGATCGCGACGGCCGTGCTTTGCTCCTCTGCATCTTCGGCCTCTGGATGGCGTGCCAGGGGACCGCCGAAGTCATTGCCACGGGGTGGGGGTGGCCCCCTCGTGGGACTCCAGGATTGCAGGGAGGAGCTCGGGAGGCAGCTCCAGGCCGCTTGCGGCCCAGCGGGCTGGCGTCAGGGGGCCCCCAGACGGTGCGGTGAGCACCGTGTGGTGAGCCAATTGGTTAGATGTCCGATCGTGGACCCCTCCAGCTTTCGCGACCGAAGACCGCCGAAAACCTTTAGAAGGGTGTTGCAGACCGCCGAAGACAGTGCGAAGACCGCCGAAGTCGGCCTCGGAGCGATGGGCAGCAAGGGGTCCATGGTCGATCACGTACAGTCGAGGTTGATTAGTAGGTCGACCCTGCCAAATGAGGGGTACCCGTGTGTCCTGTGTTTCGAGACCATGCCTTCTGTATCCCTTCGACAATGTAGTGTGGCCCCCGGAAAGGTCTGGTGTTCTCTCGCGTGTCATCTCCAATCAAGCCCGACAAATCAGGTGGGACTCGGGATGGGCGCACGAAGTTCGGGACTCTGGGGCGTGCGCCGAGGAGATCTCGGGCAGCCAGGGCCCCTGGGGCCCCCCAGAATCGTGCGCTGACAAGCTGTGCGGTGTGGTCTTTTGGGGGATCTTTGAGATCACCGCACGGCCTGTCGCCGCGCAGTTTTGGTATGCCCAGTGGGGGGGTTGGCCAAGAGGGTGGTGATGACTAGGGGGGGGATTTCATGGCGGGAGCCATGGTTTTCTTGCCTGATTTCATGGCGCCTTTTCTTATTTCAATACGTCCCTGGCCCCCCATGGGCCGCGAAAGTGCCGCCCGCCATGATTATTTTTTTTTGTTCTCTCTCTCTCTCTCTCGCTCTCTCTCTCTCTCTCTCTCTCTCCCCCCTCTTGGACGCCCCCTCTCCTTGGACGCCCCGGACGAGGGATTGCGACGCACCCTTCACGGATTTATTACCGTGTCGTATGCCCTGATGGAGCCCTAAGCGCCACTAGGCGCGGCCGCGGTTGCCAATGTGCTGATTTCGGCGCTTGATTCGCCTGCTTCGTACCTCGTACCTACGCGGCTGCCAGGGTGAGCCGAATTGTCAAGACCGACACGGTCTCGTGCGTCATACCCTGCGCACTGATACATTTCCCCTGCCCCTCCTCTCGCCTATGCCTATCGCGTGCTCCGTAGTTGCAGATCCACGCCTGGAGCTGTCGAGACGCTCGAGCTGGGTGTTTTTCTAAGGCTGCCAGGGCTCTGCTGAGGGATCCTTGTCGGGAAGGAGCCTGGGGCCGTCTCAGAAGGTCCGAAGGCCCTCCTCGGGCGATGGTCAGATTGTCTGAAGCTGGTTGTGGGCCGTCTTGGGCCCAGCTCAGGGCGATAATGGGCCGTGTCGGGCCCATCAAGACTACCCCATTGGACTCAGGGGGAGGAGTGTGGGACAAACATTATATTTTTTTGGCGTTCAATGTCCAACAAAGGCGAGGGGTGGTTGTGCGTAGCTTTGTTGTCTATAGCCAGTTTTTGGCTCAAGCCCTCATAAGGCGTCGGCCAATCCAGATGTTACCAGAAGGTCCTGTCGCTGCAGCGTCATCAATACTCGATCAAAGAGGGGCTGGCAACCCCCAGGTGGCTCTGGCGAAGAACCACAATAGTAGCGTCAAGCTCGCAGAACTCGAAGCTCTGAAGTCTGGACACCATGCGGCGCATATGAATCTGACCAAAGAGCAGATCACAATCTTCTCAGATGACATTTCGCAGCTCAGGCAGGATGTGCTGCAACTACAGCAGGAGGTCGGCCTTGCCAATGGCCAGGATCGCCTTCGAGGCCGACCTGCCTTCCCAGAGAAGGGCACCAGCGATTCTTTTGGTAGACATAATACGAATGCGATGGATGATCCTTTGCGGTCTCATGATGGGCGCCGTGCGTCACTAGAATCGCGTGTTTCGAACGTGGAGCATGCGCTGGGACAGATCCCCCAGCGCATCGCGCTTCTGGAGCAGGATTGTCGTCAGGTTGCAGAGAACCATGGCGAACGGGTCACGGGCCTACAGGTTGTCAGCGATACATTAAGCGCAGAGTTAAGTTTGTGCAGGGAGGATATTTGCACACGTTTGGGTTCTCTTGAGCAAGGCATGAAGGAGTCTGTTCCGAGGCGAATGAAGATGGTTGCGGACGTCCAGGTGTCGTACGACTCTCTCTTGAGGGCCTGGGAGGAGCATAAGCTCGACCACGCTTCATTGCCACAGCGGCTCGGTTTCCTCGAGAAGCAGGTTACTGGTTCGGAAGACAAGATGAACAAGATGAGCGTCGACTTGTGGAGGAGCGTGGACGGCTTGAGGCGGGCTCACGCTCAGGATGCTGCACTGCATGGGCGCGTTGCCTCCCTGGAGAGCGAGCTGGGCCGACTCGCGGAGAAGTATGGTAGAGAATTGGGCGAGTGCCAGATTCGGTGGCGAGCGAGGGGGGGATGCGAGAAGGAGAAGGCCTTCTCAGAAGACGGCGAGACATCTCAGAAGCACTTGCGCCTTGTGTGAAGTTTTCCGTGTCTTCGGGGAATGCTGACACATTTCTCAGAAGGCCGGGGGACTTCCGAGCCTTCTGAGAAGGCCCGCCCTTTCTCACTTCCCCCCCTCGCTCGCCGCCGCCAGACGCGTAACGACAAGGTTGCAAAGGAGCTGGTTAGCTTAGAAAGCAGACAAACCGCCACTGCCGAGCGCACAACGACTCTAGAGAGGCAGTTGGGCGATGCAGCTGATGAGCTGACCAGGATGTCGGAGGAGAACGGCGCCATTCGTGCTGGAGTGTTGCAAGACGTTCAGGAATGGCTCAGCACTATGCGAGAGCGCTTGGAGTTTTTTGGGATGGAGGTGGCAAATTGGTCGAACAAGCATACGAAGGCGATAGAGGACGTCAAGAGACTTAGCAACGATAGCACAGAGAGACTTCATGCGCACCATGTGGCAATGGCGGAGCGCACTGACCATGTGGAGAGCACGATGACCAAGTTCTCTGAGAAGTACTGCAGGATGCTGTCAGACCTGCACCACCAACATGCGGAGCTCAGCAGTAACAGCGAGTCCATACTGAGCACCATGCGGGATCGCTTGGAGTTGTTCGGGACGGAGATGAGGCATTCATCTAGCAGTCATGCGAAGGCGATAGAGGACGTCAAAAGAACTAGTGACGACAGTGCACATAAACACCATGCTCGCCACTTGGCAATCGCGGAGCGTCTTGATCATCTGGAGAACACGGTGGCCGAGGTCTCCGAGAGGCACTGCAGGATGCTGTCGGACTTGCAGCGCCAGCACGCCGAGCTCAGCAGCGGTGGGGAGTCTGTGCCAGACCGCGTGACCCGCGTGGAGCAGCAGCAGCGCGATTCCGCGGACAGGTTTGCCAAGGATCGGCGGCGCGCCGAGGGGGCAAGTTTTGGGAGTTCGGGGGTAGAGTTTTGAGCGTCTCCAGCGTTCTCGTCGGTGCATGGCGTTAGTCCAGCCTCGGGGTACGTTCCAGCGGCTGCGCCTCGCCAATAGGCGTCCGGGAGTGCCCGGATCGTCCCGAACGGCCGCCGGAGACCCGAGTTAAAAGTCCCGAAGACAAGACGACGATGATCTTTGAGAGGGCGGGTTTTCCCGGAAGGCTCACAAGGCCCCCAGGCTTCTCCGACGATGCAGAGGGCCAGCCGGAATGCTTCTGACAAGCCGCGCTGCATTCTGAGAAGTCCTTGTCTCGGTATCGTTCAACCGATCCCCATCCCCATCCCCTATCCCCTTCGAGGCCCCCACCGAATTCCCACCCCAGTCGGGGATACACCCTTCAAAACTCGAAGGGGACGGCCCATATCCCCATCGGGGGGTAAGCCGGCCAGTGGGACCCAGGCCACGCCGCTGGGGATGGAATCGGTCAAGCGATACGCATTGTCGTCTCGTTCTCGGGTCTTCACCCAGGTCTCGGGCGGCCGTTCGGGGCGACCTGGGCACCCCCAGACGCCTCGTGGCGAGGCGCAGCTGCTCAAGCGCATCCCGAGGCCGGGGAAGCGCCGAGGCTCCGAAGAAGACGCCAGGAAAAACTTGAACCTCGACTTCAGTCGGGCCTGCCCCGCTGCAGGAGGAGTTATTTTAAAAGTAAGCAAAACATGGTCAGGGGGTCCATTTCTGAGCATTTCTGTGGTGTATGTTTGAATAGTTTTGGCGTACTTTTGATTTTGCGCTCAAGATCCCCCTGTATAGGGGGACACGCCCGACCGAAACCTCGACCCCAGAACTCCCAACACTTCCCTCTCGGCTTGCCTCCCGACGAGGACTTGCAGACCCTCCACCGGTCGCGGGAGCATCGGACGCTGAGAAATGTGCAGATGCACCGCGCCTGGTCAGGCCCATGCTAGGCTCAGGAATTTCGGATGCAACTCCTGGGAGGTCAGATTCTGAGTTTGCCCTGGTCCGAAGTCCGGCTCAATCCGGCTTGCTCCCGCTTAATCCCGCTTATCCGAGGCCCACTCCGGCGTAATAGCTCCCACATGGGGCTTATAATCCTTCATCTTTCCGACGGAAACCTCCCAGTGGTTGCCTCCTGACATCCTGGGCTCAGGATTGGTGCACATGCCCCCCTCGGTGCCGAGCCAGGAGGGCGTGTGCACCGATCCTGGGCCCAGGGTGGGCCTGGCCAGGATCGGTGCATGTGCATAGCTCGATTCCCTGCAGGAGCAGCTCGAGAGCCGCATCGCCGAGATCCGGGGCGAGAGCGACGGCTGCCGCGTCGCCGTGGCAGAGCGCGTCGACGCCCTCGAGCGGGCGGCTCGAGACGAGGCTGGCCGGCAGGCCAAGGAGCTCGCGGCCCTGCGGCAGGGGCACCAGGATCGGAGGCTGCTCGAAGGGTGCGTTGGACCAGGGTGAGCTCGCCAGGCCCGAGCTCCCCCCCGCAACTCGACCCGATGCGCCCCAGCAGCCGTCGGAGTCACCCTGCTTGAACCAGACCTTCCCGCCGTTCCCAATAGGCTGCGGCGCCATTCGATTCCTCCGACTCGGTTCGAGTCGATTTCGATCGATTCTGATTCCGATTCCACTCGACTTCTGATGCCGATCTGGATTCCGGGTTGGCAATGAAGGCCTGAATTATTGGCTTGCCGAATGCAGCCGATTCGACTTCTCCCGTCTCGACTGCCGATTTCCGCCGATCCGATTCAGGTTGACCGCCGATCCGACATATCGATTCGATTCTGGGCCCTCCTGCCAGGATCGAAGAACAGAGGGCAGCACCTGTAAACATCGAGGTTCGGAGGTCCGCACGGGTCTTCGGGCGCGATCTCGTCGGTTCCGGGAGACTCTCCTGCCCCCGGGGATGCGCTCCAGCGGCTGCGCCTCGCCGAGGGCGCTCCCTGGGGTGCCCGCATCGTCCCGCACGGCCGTCGGAGAGCCGAGTGATCCAATCTCTGGGCTCCCGGGCGGCGCAGCCACGTGCCGCCAACATGCACCTCCTCCTCCTCCTCCTCCTCCTCCTAAGCGCCGGCTCAGCAGGGCTGGCCACACTCTCCCTCCACCGTACCCTAATTTAGCCCACCACACTGCTACCTCTTCGGCGCTCGTTCAGTCGAGGCAGCGCGTCTCTCCTGGTCTTTCACTTGCATGAGTTGAGGGCCCACAGGGACAAGTGCAGCCTCGGCCATCCGTATAATGACTACGGCGCGGGAGAGGGTCAAGCACACATTGAGTATCCTGCAATTCAATCCCATGTACGCCAGTACCTCTGACAGATTGCAGGACATCGCCGACTTATCGCAGAACACGGATTTTACTTGTCTCAATTCAACTGGTGTGCAGCGTTACGGACCAGCTGGAGTGGCTATGTGGCGACGAGTGGGCACCAGATGGTGCTTAGACGCTGGCTGGCACAGATCTCCTCACAGCAATAAGTCTTGTGGGTGCTCTATCCTCCTCGGGCCACACATCAAGCGCAGCACGGTGGTACAAACATTTGTGTGCCCAGTTCCTGGCCGAGGCGTTGCTTTGCGTGCACGCTGTAAGCATTATGATGTGGCTGTGGTTTCTATTTACTTCCCACCAGTCCCTGCGAAGACTGGACAGTTCAAGGCTTATTATCAGACGTGCGATTCTCTTGTGAAATGGTTACGCTCATTACCCTTCTGGAGTGTGCACAGAGTCTTTCCCATCATCTGTACGGACCTCAACTCGGGATTTGGGCTCACGAGATTGGAAGGGTCGGAGCTATGGCGACCTACAAACAGCACGGCGGTTGGACCCTATCACGACAAAGTCCGTCAGAGGTATTCGGCAGAGGTCCTCCTCCCCTTTCTCGACATGCTCGACATGGCGGTACTCAATACACACAGAGGCTACGGGGCAACATATTTTAACAATAAGGGGCAGGGCAGCCAGCTGGACTATATCATCATCCCACGGTGCTCGATATCTCAGACACTCTCAGTGGGGCCGCTACGACGTATGGGAAGATCATTGCAGGCGATAGCGGCCCACACGCCACGTGACCATATCCCAGTTCACGCTCGACTAGCCTACTCTTTCACGGACACGCTTGGATTACCTTCGACAGTTGCTGATCATCCACAGTTGGGCTTTGTGCAGAATATACACCGCTGGAACAGAGATGCTCTCATGGATGGATTACGACGTGGTACACATCGAGTAGAATTTCTTCAAAAAGTTGAACAACGGATTTCAGACGACATGGATGAGTGGAAGCAGTTTCAGAGAAATGAGCAGACCCCCAATCGAGATTGGTCTTATTTACTCCAGGTGCTCGGTGAGGCTGCGGCTCCTTTTTTCACGACTCCACCTTCGCCCTCATCCGAGTACAGGCAGCGCGCAGCACATGTGACCAGTCTCATCCAACAGAGGCGCCAGCTACGTGAGGCACTAGGTGACGCTCTTCACATAAATGAGATTGCCAGCATCACCGAAGAGCTTCGGGCGCTCAGCAAAGACCTCCGACGGCTACGCAGACGCTACCTCACATTGTGGCGTCAGGACATTACCGACGAGCTGGTGACGGCCCACCAGAAGGATCGCAAGGCAGAAGTTGCTCGACTGTCTCGCCTCTTGTCAGCCAGGGGCACGGGCCCCAAGAAACGCAATTACAAACAAGCTGCTTCTGCTGTTCCCTGCTCCGAGGACCTCAAGGCTCGCCTCCAGTTGCCTTCTAGTCAGGGCGGTTTGGAGGCCACTATCATTGACTGGTTCCAGGAGACCGAGGATTTATTGTACCATCCAGAGTTTGGGCTAGAAACCGAGCAGTTCCAGTTCCCCTTCAGCGAGGACGGCCTCCAGTGGGCCACGGAGAAGCTCCAACTCATATCCAGATATCTTCGGACGGCCAGTAAGAGACGCGCAGCCCCCCCGTGGTCACTCCCACCAGAGCTCTTCTGGATGCTCCTGCACCCCTACAGAAGGATCTCCAAGAGGTTTCGTGGGCTAGGATATGAGGCTCCATCGCTCGACCAGAAGTGGACTAGGTATTATTTGAAAGTACTGCTCCATCGAGTTTATCGCTCTGGACAAACACCAGCAGTTTGGCACTTGTCTCAGGGTATCGCCATCAACTTTAAGCGGCTTGTGCACGTGCTGCGCCCGTTCGGCAAGGCTTTCATTGCCACAGGTCTCAGACCTGATCAGCGGGATCGGGAGCCCCTCTTCGCTCGCGGCTGCGTGGCTGGCCGACGACGAGAGACGGCCATGATGATTCAACAGAGTTTGAGTTGGCGTCTCAGACGCCTAGGTTTGCAGCACATTAGAGATCATAAGGACATCACGAATGCCTTCGGCAGCACCGACTGGACCCACCTCTCCAGCACCAACGAGGCCATCATGAAACCCCAAGAGGTCCGATTCGGTGAACGAAGGTTCAGGAGATCAGCGGTCGCCTTCCAAGGTCCCGACGGGTTCCTCTTCGCCAAGCCTCACGCGGGAGCACTCCAGGGGGACCCGTGGGCAGTTAAAGTCTTTACCAGGGACATCGACATCGTTTTCGAACAGGCCCAGGACAAATTTATCGAGGGCCCTGATGATACTTCTGATTGGTGCATTGTTGATTTGCCGCAAGATGATGAAGATGAGGAACCCATCGAGCTTGACCTCTCGTTTCGCACGTATGTTGACGATGCTACAAAGACACTGATTTCTGGCTTGCATGGCACTGCGTCCCATTTGGAGCTCAGCACTAAACCGCTGTCCTACAACACCCTCCTCTCCGAGCAGCTCCTCACACACAATTACCTCCTCAACCCCGCGAAGAATGAGACGGTGCTGGCTCTTTTTGGAGAAGGCTCGCAGGCAGGCCGCACGAGATTTCAGGCCAAAGCTCCCCCCACAGCTGGAGAGCCCAGCGATCTCGCCAAGATGCTGGTGGGCCTCGTGCGAGCAGATTGCGCATTTAACAGCGAGCTTTCGGCCAGGCTTGCAGCTATCGACGCTGGATTTCACAGCATGGGCAGATATTGGTATCAGTATGGCGCCCCCCCAGTCGAGAAGCGAGCTGTATTTCTTTCTCGGGTTCTAGGGCCAGCAGTTTCTGGAGTAGAAGCATTCCTACCTACACAAGCACACCTAGACAAACTACAAGCACGAGTACTACACTATGCACGGAGGGCGATGAGGGGAGGAGCAACATACGAGAAGGATGGGCACAAGGTCTCGATTTCCAACATGCAGGTTTATCGTTTTTGGCAGATGGCCCCAGTAGAACATGAGCTCAGAGCAAGGAGGATCAGGTGGTATCAAAGGTGGGTGAGGAATCCTAAACAACACATCGCAGAATGGGGAGCACTACTAGGCAGCATGCGGGTCGAGCTCGCTAACGAGTTGCCGATTGTGGGTGACGATGCTCGGCTCACTCAGGCTGCATGTCCCTGGGCTCGCAGATTTGTTGATGACATTTCATCGCTTGCAGAGCTCGGGGACGATGAATACAGTATGGTGCAGCAGTTCGATGGGCAGCCTCTTCATCTCTTCTCTGGCCCTGAGCTGATCGATTGGTTCACGCTCTTCGACGCAAAAAAGATCAGGGCCGCGTACTTAGCGGTTCGTATCCCTCCTCCGTCATGGACCCCACCATCAGAGGCTCCAGAGGACCCCGAGGCGCAGCAAGATGTTGGGGAGTACGGTTGTCCAGTCCACGGGTGCCTCAGAAGGTTCCAGAGTAAACGCCAGGTCCTGGTTCACTTACACAATCATCATGGCCTTGAATCGATCCTTGGGACCGCCGTGGTCAACAACCAGTGCTTTGTGTGCAATAGCGTGTTTGAATCGAGAAATTCAGCTTACAAACATGTGGTGGATTCTTTCCAGAGTGGAGTATGCATGGTGAATCTCAGCACGACATTCCGAACACCTACACCTTTACCTTCGGACTGTCCGTTGCGTGAGGTTCAAGTTTCCGAACCTTCTCAACATTCACGACACATTCGTTCGCGCTTTACGCGGCTACCGCTACTATTCGACGGTGGTGATAATGGCCAGCGCCCCAGCCTGGCAGCTCGGCAGCAAGCGCAAGGCCAGTCAGGCCACAGGCGGAGACAACCAAAGGCAGCGGCTGGAGCAGCAGGTCGTACAGCAGGCCCGCCAGGAGCTCAAAGGCAAGGAGGGCGGCATCATGGCGGCCCTGCTCACGGTCATGTGCAGGCTTTCGCTCACCAATGCCAGAGATCTCGCGGAAATCACGGGCGCTACGTTCACTTGTTTCCTCCTGCCAGCCACCGCAGGCCTCGTGGGAGTGATGAAGACAGCTGGCCAGGACTACGCGATGGACTGCAAGGAGCAGGGGAAGCAGCACGACAACGGGCCTCCATGGCCCCATATATTCATGGCGCTAGTGACCCACTTCCTGGCAACG